CATAGGTATACACATGCAGACACATGTATATAGTGTATGCAGTGTGTGTGTGTGTATATTGTATGTGCATATAGTGTATGCAGTGTGTGTGTGTATAGTCACAGCTTGTTTATATTAGCCTTAATTTCACAATATGATTGCAATTTTGATTGCAATATGCTATAATATTGAGTTTACTGAATACCTTTGGGTGTGCTACTATAATGGGGCTCAATAATGTTATGTTTAGTGTATATGTGTGCATAACATATTTCCACAGCAATAACACTATTTGAATTCAGGAATATATTTGGAGTATCACTGTGTGTGTGAACGTAGGTTATATTTGTGATATTTGTTTGTGTGTGAATTTGACTTATTTGTATATTTGTGCAGTGTTAGTGAGTTCAGGTATGTGTTGGTGCATTGTGTTTCCAGTCCCTATCTACCCCTTCTATCTCCCTCCATCATGCTCTGTTCAATTATCTCTCCGACACATGTGCTCCTCTTCCCCTTTCCTCACTTATGTCTCCCTTCCACATCTGTTACTCTTCTCACCCCTATGCCCAGTTGTTACCCCTTCTCAACCCTCTTTTCCCCACTTGTGTCTCCCTTCCACATCTGTCACTCTTCTCATACCCCTATGTCCATTTATTACCCCTTCTCAACCCTCCTTTCCCCACTTGTGTCTCCCTTCCACATCTGTTACTCTTCTCATACCCCTATGTCCATTTGTTACCCCTTCTCACCCCTCCTTTCCCCACTTGTGTCTCCCTTCCACATCTGTCACTGTTCTCATATCCCTATGTCTGTTTGTTACCCCTTCTCACCCCTCCTTTCCCCACTTGTGTCTCCCTTCCACATCTGTCACTCTTCTCATACCCCTATGTCCATTTGTTACCCCTTCTCACCCCTCCTTTCCCCACTTGTGTCTCCCTTCCACATCTGTCACTCTTCTCATACCCCTATGTCCATTTGTTACCCCTTCTCACCCCTCCTTTCCCCACTTGTGTCTCCCTTCCACATCTGTCACTCTTCTCATACCCCTATGTCCATTTGTTACCCCTTCTCACCCCTCCTTCCCCACTTGTGCCCTGTTTTCTGCCTTCCCTAGTCTTACACCTATTTGCTGACCAGCAGTGTAAGGTTTGAAGCAGTAATAGCAGGCAACTGGACGTTCTGGAGATCACGTGTGATTATGATGCTGATCTGATGTCATTTTCGCAAACCATTCTGTAAGTACTTTGGCAGTCTCAAAGGAAGAGAGGACCTGCTAGGCAAAAAGGCTAAACAGCGATTCCCCTTCTTGCCCAAGCACACATTTCTAAATATATATACTACCAACAATAAGGCTGCAATCACTGAGTGTCACCCCTCACCTGCTTGCCATCCTTAGGCCATGTCCTGTGTCCAGGGAGGGGGGACACACTACATTCCCTGGTGGTCCGGTGGCACAGTATGGTTGCCCAGTGAAGAGGAGCCCAGGAGTCTCCACGTTTGCTTCACATCCAGCAGCAGTATGTCCTCTTATCTTGCGATCCGTGAGAGCGTTGCCGCGGGTTGCCATAGCAATGTGCTGCAACGCTTCGCGGAACATGAGAACAGAGGACATGCTGCTGCTGGATGTGAAGCAAACGTGGAAACTCCTGCAAGCGTCTCGGTCCCTTTACATATCTCGGTCCCTTTAAAAACAGTTACCGTCACACTATCCCAAATAACACAAGGCTTTTAGTAGCATTCCAATGGCTATTAAAGTGCATCTCACCTGCCATATCAAGGTAAACCTCTTAATGAGTCTCAAATGAGACAAAAATGGTTATTCTTATGAAACCTTACACATTTATTTTTTTGGGGTTGGTTGGAATAATCTTTTTATTTTGGCTCACTTACTGAAAACTCCCACCTGCAATATAGAAATGTGTCAATAGAGGCAAAGCACCCAACTTACTGGGTCTACTCACATCTTTTGGTGCTTGGTCTGTCCTGAAAGCTACTGTTATATGTTTTTTCCATCTTGGGTGATGTGGAGACTCCAGTAGACCTGGTTGTTCTTCATGCCAGGCCCATAGTATATAGGCCAAAAGTACATCACATTTCACGGTATTTCTGAGAATGCTCTCATTATTCCGTGTTTTATACAGCCCACGTTGGCTGACTGGCAGATCTGTGTCAGAATGCCCCGTTTGCTGACCCATTTGTCAGGTTTACCTGTCCACATGGCACAAGTCACGCACATTGTGTCATAAGTACGTCCTTCTCCAGTTCTGTCCATTTCCGTGTCCCTCTCATTCCATGTTCAATCCCTCCTTATGTGTGGAGGTATAGTGATAATGTTTGTAATGAATGTGTATTCAAAACGAATGTGTTAATATGTACATTAAAGGGTTACTATAGTATTAGGAGTACAAATCTGTATTCCTAACACTATAGCTCCCTCTGCCTAGTAGACAGCCACTAGAGGCTGTCTTAGCACAGTTTCTCTGAAACTGCAATGTTTGCAGCTGCAGGGCTAAGGCACCAGGGACACGGTACCCAGACCACTTCAATGAGTGGCGTGAGTGTGTGCATGTTAATTGAGTGTGTTTTTAGGACCAAAATGCATCTTGATTGTGGTAACAGTACTCTTCGTTGAGTAAAAGTAAAACCAAAAACATTCAATGCAAGAGCGTCACATCACATGCTTGTTTAGTTCTTACTCCACTCAAAGTATTCAGTCCCTATTAAAGTGCTCCATCAATAGACCTTAGTAACAACTCTGCCTGCCTGGTGTGCGTGCATGAACAGCAGATTGACGAGTCTTTTTTTTTTGTCATCGTCTAGTCCCCCTATCCTTAATCCATATGCTCATAGTCCTAACTTTGGTAGGTATGAACACAAGTCTATATAGTGCAGGGCAGCTCTTTCATGTAATGTCCAGCAGCATGGTTATGGTCTGTCTAGGAATACATGGTAGATCTGGCAAACCTAAACCCATCTGCACCATTAGTAATATAAAGTGTGGCAGGAGGTATCTAAAATCAGAGCCGTCTTTACCACGGAGCAAAAAGGGCAACTGCCATGGGCCCTATAACTTAAAAGGGCCCACAGCAGCTGTCACTTGTGCCCTGGAATGGACAAACCAGGGAAAGAGTGAACATGAAGAGCCCTGTTGCAGCTTCCATTTTTAAAGCCTAGAAATTTATCCTTGGAGATAAAGTGCTATATTCCTGAGGAAGTCCATTGAGATGAAACGCATTGGATAAGCTGCCTTTTCCTGACTTTTTATTTATTTTATGGATTGCGTATTTTCTCTGTATGGCTGTCCAGTAATCAGCCCTTTATCTCCAAGGATTGGAAGACTGCTCATTGATTCACTTTGCAAGTGGAGACAAGCCTGCTGTTCCTCTAGGTGTGTAAGTGCAACCTTAAATAAAATTTGTATTTTTATATACCTATTGCACTATTTGTTCCTCTTTTTACATTCTTTGAGAAGCAGTTTTGGAAGACACCAGCCATCCTGTACTCCCCATTTTATGACTAGGGCTGCATGCACTCCTTTAACTCGTTTAACTCCTAAATGGCAGAGAATTGAGCAGGGAATTGAGCAGCACCTCTTGGATTCTCTGGTGACAACATTGCGCACTTTACCATATTCAGTCTCTTTATTTTTAGATTCCCTATTGTATTCATATCTATCCTGACTTCCAGGTTGTATTTCACTTAACATCCTCTATGTGTATTTGATTACCCCCCTTTTTTATATATACATTTGGGGTAAAAATCTGTGTTGGTCTACCCCAACTATAATTACCCTATTCCCACTACATCCTCTATCACTTCCATTACAGCTCCTCCACACACTACAGCCCATGTCCCCCTTTCAAAATCCTATTCCCCACTACAGCCCCTCTTCCCCCATTATAGCCTCTATTCCCCCAGATACAGTTCCCCAACTACAGCTTCGCAGTCTAACTACAGACCTTTCCTTCCCATACTACAGCCCCTATGGATGGAAGCGAAAAGAGTGTGGGGGGGGGGCCCAGCAGCAGAATCTTGCCCTGGGCCCATTTATTATTAAAGTCTGCAACTGTACTTTGTATCACCCTCAAATGCTGCTTTTATTATACTGGATTATAGCATGGAGCATACAGCCGTATCCCGTCGTAACACTGAGTGCATGACTGGATCCCACACTTGGGCAACGTGTTACTATAGATGGTGCTATAATGGCGCTGTATTAAAAGAGGCGCCTTTATAGCTTCTATGTAATGAAGCAAATTAGAAGTCTATAGTTTAAAATTGAATCCATAATCTCAAATTGCATAGAGTTTTGACAAATTGCCCCAAAAAAATCAATGAAAAGTAACCTGAGATTTGGTAAGATATAGGCTGAAAGTTGGTATTATCCCATCCCTCAGTAATAACATATTGGAAGCTGGGTTTGTGTACATGTAGCTGTACAAGAAAGCAATAAGTGGCAGCGTTTATGATGATATGAAATAATTTAACAAGGATTGGTACACTTGGCTATCGCTAGTTTTCAGGTACATTCTGGTATGTAGATAGTTTCCCAGGTGAATGGTATTAATTTTATTGAGTTTGGTAACATGAAAAATTAAATAAAGCTTCCACTTGTAGCAGATACTAAAGATTCTGTAGATGGAGCACTAGCCACCGAGATATCTCAGCAGCCGCGGTATAATGAACACTTGTAACAAAACATAAGATTTAATGTTTCAGAAGACAGTCCGGGTAATAGAAGGAAGTATAATCCAGTTTTAACGGTAATAATAATCCAGGAACTTTTTTGTTTTTTTATAAATCAATGTCCCGCATATCATGTTATAAGAAGCAGTGTTGAAAATAAGTTGAAAGTATATAATTTATGACGTACCTTTATAGGAAACCAAAAAAAAAAAAATTGTATATTCCGCATGGTGACCTGGATTCATCTTGGTAACGAAGCTGTTACATTCTCTGGAACCCGTATATTAGCTGGTAACACTGCCGATGATTAGCAACAGGTTATTAGAAAATATAGAGTGAATCAAAACTGTATTAGGAAAATCCAGGGAACCAGAAGTCCACCGTCAGGGTCTGTGGGAGTTCGGATTGATAGAAGCCAGTATTGAACAGACCAAGTGCTACGAAATTGCTCATTCAATTTTGTGTCCCTGCTTCTGCAGTGATGCTTTAAGCAAAGTCTATATAGAGTCTGCAGGATTCACTGAGTTTCAATGAATGGCTGGAGAGCAAGCAGGAACGTGCAACAAAATACATAAACCAAAGCGAGAATTCTCCATCACCTCTGCTGCAGTTATGGATTGTGTCTAATAAGTAGTTTGGCAGTGCTGTAACACATACATAAAACTGTATGCAAAGACATGGAGCTGTGTGATTGAAGGCTGTGTACAACCTGCAAGTAACCGGAGCAATCCGGTCTAATTAATGAAAGCTGAGAATGCTTCAGTTGGAGATCAGAGACTTATTGCAAAGCAGGAAGAATGTCACAAGATCCTCCAATGGTCAATAGCCTACAGCATTTTCATTCTTGTAGAATAGATGTCTGTTGACCAACTCCCCCCAGTGGCCAAGAAGGAAAAGGCAAGCAAATTCTTTGGGAAGGATTGTTCTATAGCAGAGAAATTGCAACAGATGTTAAGGGTAACTATTATCGCCACTTATATAGCGCCAACAGATTCCTTAGCACTTTACAATATTATAATACTAAATTAGAATAAGAGAAGAAGAGAAGAGGAAATAAACAGAAAAGCTTAAAGAAAATTGAGTGAGAGGGAAAATGGAGTGAAAGACTAAGGAGAAAGTTTGTAAGAGACAAATTACTATGGGAAATACAGTATAAGATAGGTCTGTGTATAGTTTTAGGGAAAACAAAAGCAAAATTGTACAGAGTTTCCCCCAACTTTAAGTAATTTTTTAAATTATATTATCAGTTCATCATAATCCCCCATAGACTTTATTTCTGCAAAGTGTTCTCCTGCAAAGCGGAAGTGTAGTTTTCTGAACTGTGGCCAATTCCAATAATGAACAAAAAAAAATCCCACATAGATTTATATATACAAATATTTATTACAAGTAACAGGAGGAAAACATTTAAATAATGTATAGTATAAAAATATTTACATAACTGATTATTATTATTATTATGGTATTTATATAGCGCCATCAAATTCCACAGCGCTTTACAATGGGTTGATTTTATTATAAAATAATTGAGGAAATAAAAGCCCCATGAATGTAAACACAGCTGACATGGAAGCGGTACACTAAAAACCAAACTGCGGTAAACTGAAAACGCGAAATAAAAAAAAATGTAGTCTAAAATAACTAGCGTGTAATCAGAGGCATAGTTAGAAACCACAGGGCCCCGGTGCAAAAATTGCCCTATGGCCGCTCCCCTTACACCCCCCCCCCCAAGCAGACAAACAAATACACATGCAGACACATACACATACAGACACACTAGATCACTAGATGCAGGGGGTGACTTCCCCGGAGTCAAGTGGTGGCTCAGGCTGATGGGAGTCAGAGTTCCAAATCTGCCTCCCTCCTCTCCTTCCTCCCATGTGGCTCCAGGTGTAAGCTGGGAGGAGTGACCGGGGCTGTCACTTTCTCCCCAGCTTTGATGGAAACTCATTGCTATCGGGTAGCCCTAACAGCATGGGCCACCCACTGGGCCTCTTCAATGCAGCGGGCCGGGGCCACGTTAGTCAGCGGGCACCACGGTCACAGGCAGCCGGGCCCCCTGGAGTGACGGGCCCTGTTGCAGCTGCAACTCCTGCAACCGTGGTAGTTCCGCCACTGCGTGTAATTTGGATTTCAATTTTCAATTCAGTGCTTATTTATCTACTCATAATGGTGGGATTTATTCAATAAAGTGCAATAGAACAGGTGTAGGAGTTTGGGAACAGGAAACCAGTCTATCAACAGGGGGCTAATTTTATTTGTGTAAAGGCTGTCCAAAATTTAGCCGCCTCTGCCTCCATTTCCTCCTTTCTTTGGCATGCCACCTCAGCCAGGATTTACAACCTGCTCATTTGTTCCACTAATTCAGTCTCTTGGGCTGCATCAAGCACCGGTGGTGGGCTTACAACCTCCGCAGGATGGCTCTGGACTGGTTGAAATGTCAACCTGAACTGGTCACCTTCTTCTGCCATGCCTTGCTGGAGATCATGGCCAATCCTGGATAGCAGAACAAGGGGTGGGAATACTGTATAGGACACCGGCACTGCAGCAATAATGTTCGTGGGGGGAGGAGTAGACGGTTCCACCCTTACTTTTAATTTTGGGTTGTGTGGAGGGATCTTCTTTTTCTTGTTTCGCTTTTGTATTGAGCCAGACAAACTTGGCCCAAGGTCTCTTTTTGATACAATTTTGTGTTGTGTTCTCCTTCTGGCATTTATGAGCCAGTTAGAGATCTGTAAACAGAGAATTGATAGACAGGTCAGTGAGAATAGAAATATAAATTATATTTTCTTCCAAAACTTACTCACAGTAAATGTCACATGTCCATTAAGGCACTTAAAAACCCCAGGAACGTTCACTCACTTTCATTCTCTACCATGACTAGCAGAAAAGGGATTTGTGTTAAAGACAACCCATCCCCTGCTCCTTATATAAAAACACAGAATAGAGAAGTATTGTGTATTTGGTTTTAGGTAAACACAGGTCTTTGCTGCTCTTATAAGGCTATTGACCATAAAGATATACACAGAGATTTAGTTGTGCCCTAAAACCAGAAATGCTAACACATTAAATTAAATGTGGAGCTAGTGATAGGTTATTTTTTCATTCTAACTGTAATAGACACTCATAACCAGATAACTTCCATAAAACATTCTAACATAATGTACTAACTAGACCCACTAAACGAGGTGTCCATACGTAGGTACATTGTTACATGGCTAAAAAGAGACAGGCGCCCATCAAGTTCAGCCTTTCTCACATGTGATTTTTGCTGTTGATCCAAAAGAAGACCAAAAAAAAACCAGCCAGAAGTACTTCCAATTGTACAACAAACTAGAAGGTACTACTGTCATTCCAATTATTAAACAGTTACTAGATGGACTTGTATTATCCTTTTGGGGGTGGGGGTGCAGGTGATTTTGTGAAATGATTTGATACATTTGATCACGGTATCCAAGAAAGGTCCCCTATCAAGGACAATCCACAAAATGTTTGATCAGGACCCAGTTTGTGCTAAAAAAATAGGGTCTCTCTCAACGTTGCAGGTCAACCAAAATTCCAAATCATTAGTCATAATTGCAAAAGGACATTAAAATGATTTATAAAAGGTCTTCATACAAGTAGACTTAATATAGTTTGAAACACTGAGGGAGTTAAGAGACAACTGACATGGAGTAGTAATCGCCACTGTAGGGAAAGATTCTAAACCTGCACATTTATAGGGTTATTCACTAAAGTGAGGTTCAAATTTAGGTCAAAGTATCCAAACATGAAGCCTTTCATTTGAAACTCACTTTTGAATAAATTTTGAATTCTCACTTTAGTGAACCATTGTTAGAAATTCAGATCAATCACCATGGAAACACGATATGTTTAGTTACTTACTTGAGTGTGTGTTAGACCTGTTGCCTCAGCAAGTTCTACATTATCGTTGACATTTGGGTGAGGATGTCTATAAAGCCAGTTGTTTAAAATCGTAACCGCATGTTGTGGCAGATTCCTGCAAATTCTTCGTTCACCATTTACTACTAAATTTTGTATGTTGCAAATGGCAACATTCATGGATTCTGAAATATTGGGAGAGAAGTTATTGAGAATTAAAATTCAGTATTTAGTAATTACCCCTCGTACACCATTTTTAGGAGGCACAGAATGTGAGTTTATCACAGAGTTTCACAGCAACCAAATTCACAGTAATGATGAGGATTTTGTAGGTTTAAAGGGATATTATAGTCACCAGAACAACTACAGCTTAAAGTGTCCCCCTGGACAAATAAGGAAGGGGGAGCATGACTGCTGCCCAGGATAGTGGGATGGTATAATGGTAGCAACAATGTTGCAAAGATGGAAGGATTCATAAAGGGGAAGCAAGGGAGGAGACTTACCAGTCAGAAGGAGATAGTCAGTCACCCTGGTTTAGTCACCTTCGGGGGCGCGAAGCCGGCGCAGATCAGGCTGCGGCAGGTCGGCTTCGCGGTGGCGGTTTTCCCTGGACAGCGGAAGCGAAAAGGAAAGGAGTATGACGCAAGGTCACCTTGGGGAGACGACAGTCGTCGCAAGGCTGATGGCTAGCGACGGCTGGATTGGGCTCTTGGCGAACAAAGAAGGAGAACTGCCTGTTGGGTCCTCACCCAACAGCTGGCAGGAATTAAGAATTAAGTTTTTTTACTGTTTAATAAAGCTGTGGCCGTTGCCCTTATCCACTTAAAAGGTGTCCAGTGTTTTATTTGGGGCAACGGTGGGATGGTAATGGGTCAGCAGTCATGCAGTTCTGGTGAGTGTAGTCTGTCCCTGCAAGCATTTTACTGTAAAATCTGCCCTTTCACAGAAAAAAGGGCATTGTTTACATTACTAAACCTTTGCCCCTCTAATTTAAAACTATGTCCTCTTGTTGTGGTAGTTTTTCTTCTTTTAAATATAGTCTCCTTCTTTACTGTGTTGATTCCCTTTATGTATATTTAATGCAATTCTAAGTGTATTTTAATATTAATAAAAAATATACACTTCAAATGATAGTGTGTGTATATAAAAAGTACTTAAGTACTTTTGTGTGTGTTTATAAACTGTTTAAAACTTTCAAAAACGGTTTTACAGGCTTATTGGGGGCTGCCTGACATCCCAGAAGTCCCCGTGCAGACAGAGCTGCTGACAGACATTCTGGAAAAGTGATCGCGGGAAACCAGCAATCACATGGCCTGGGAGGGTCGAATCAGCCGGAGGGGGACTGTCTGGGCTGTCAAGCAGTCTCCAGGATTGTGACCTCAGGGGAACGGCATGGACCCGGTCAGTACTAAGGACGGTGGAGATGTTTCATGCCAACTGCCGGCGTTTACGCATGCTGTCCTTAAGGGGTTAAACAAACCAATGAGAGTTTTACTTTTTTAACCTCTATTATCTATTTATACACTGCATATGTTACTTTATGCTGTGTTGGTATGAAACTCTGATACTCCAATTTGGGTTTTGCAAAGTAGGATGTACATGATCTACCTTATAGAGAGAGAAAGAAAGAGAGTGTGTATAATTTTTAAAATAAAATATTTTTTGTATGTGTGTGTGAGAAACACAATTCCATTTAAATTGCATAAAGGCAGCATAATAACATTTGCAAAATATAATATAGAGCAGAGGAAACATTTCCCCTGGGCTAAAATTCTGCATGTAAATGTTGTGAAGATACATTTTAAGTGTAATAAGGCTAACCCTACCCAGCCAGCCACCTCAGGCCTCCTAGCTAGCCGTCTCCCCGTCCCCCTTACTGCTCTGTGTTTCCAATCAGCCATAAATGACTCCCATATTACCAATCCTGTCCTACCTCCACTTGCAAGGCTTTCCTCAATAGCCATTCATCTCAGACCCCCTGCCTCCACATCCATTAATCTCAGACCCCCTGCTTCCACAACCATCAAGCTCTGGCCTTTTATCCATTTCACACACAACCTCCCTTGCATTGTGTTAAAAATAAGTTACAAAAAATAAAATTTTACGTTTAAAGTCTTGTAAATAAAAGCTCTTGTGTGATATCCTGATATCCTCTTTGCAGGGGAGGGCTGGCAGCCTTAGGCCTGGGGGGCAAAACCAGTCAAGTGGCCCATTGCACCACCAAATCAGTTCACCATCCATGCCCACCTTTTCCTGGTTTTATAACGGATATTGATGTTATGCTAATCAGTAGCTCTTTGCCATACCCGCTCCTTCACGGCTCCAGGCACTGCTTGTTGTGAGTGTGAGCCACTGTAAATTAGGGGCAGAGGGCACTTGCACTGCGGTAAAGATGGGGCTGGACAGGAGGAGAGTGCAGTGCAATCAGTGCACTCCCCTCCTGTGGGTCACCAGTAGACTGGTGCACCTGCCCAGGATCAGTGCCGGTGCAAGGATTTTTGCCGCCCTAGACAAAATAAAAATTTGCTGCCCCCCATGTGACATCACAATGCCCCACCCATATGAACTAACGCCAGTGCTGCACACAGTGTGTGTTTACATTAAAAAGCCTGCAGGGACCAGCTATAGACACCAGAACCACTTCATTAAGCTATAGTGTCCCTTTAATGTGAGGTACATTATAGATTAGTGTCACTAATAATATACTAGATTGCCTACTTACAAGCAGATGAGGATGATGATGGGCTGCAGTTTGGCTCCACTGGTCTGGTGTAGAACAAGATCTCTGGAGGCTGTTTGCAGCTGTGGTCACAAAATTCAATGTTCTGGGAGAATTGGAAGCAGCTCCATTTTTTGGGGCCCCTTACACAGCTCAAGGTCTGGGCCCCAGGGCCTGACGGTGAGTATGCCCATAAGGCCCACTCATAAGTTCCACCCACCCATGAGTTCGCTCACAGGGAGTGGAGTGTGTAGGGGATGTGTTATGTGTTATTGTAGAGGATCTAATATGTGTGCTTATGGTATGTAGTGTATAGGGTTACCAGTTTGTGCAGGTGATGTAGTGTGTTTGTGTGTAGTGGAAGCAGTGTGTATTTGTGTATACTCTTGTGTATACTTGTGTATCCTCTCCCCCACCCTCCCCTAGCGGTCTCTTCTCACACTCACCCACCCTCCCTGTGCTCTTCTCACTCCTCCCTCTATGTGTTCTCCTCACACCCCCTGTGTTCGTCTTACCCCCCTCCTCCCTGTGTTCTTCATACTTCCCCCCTTGGTCGTCTTACTCCCCCACCTGTTCTTCTTAACCCCCTTCTTCTTATTGCTCCCCCTTCTTCTTCTTACCCCCCCTTCTTCTTCTTCCTCTTCCTCCCCCTTCTTCTTCTTACTCCCCCCATTTCTTCATACTCACCCTTCTTCTTACCCCCTCTTCTTCTTCTTACTCCCCACTCTTCTTCTTCTTACTCCCCACTCTTTTTCTTACTCACCCCTTCTTCTTCTTCTTACCCCCCTCTTTTTCTTATCTCCCCTCCTTCTTACTCCGCCCTCCCCTCCTTCTTACTCCGCCCTCCCCCTTTTCTTATTCCCCCTCTCCCTCTTCTTACTCCCCCCTCTTTTTCTTACTCCCTCCTCTTCTTCTTCTTACTCCCCCATCTTTTTCTTACTCCCCCCTTCTTCTTCTTACCCCCTCTTTTTCTTATCTCCCCTCTTCTTATTCCCCTCCCTCCCCTCTTCTTATTCCCCCTATCCCCTCTTCTTATTCCCCTCCTTCCCCTCTTCTTATTCCCCTCCTTCCCCTCTTCTTATTCCCCCTCCCCTCTTCTTATCCCCCCTCCCCTCTTCTTATACCCCTTCCCCTCCCTCCTTCTTACCCCCCTCCCTCCTCCCTCTCTTGCTTCTTCTTGCCTCCCTAATCTTTCTTGCTCACCTTCTTCTTCTTACCCCTCTTTCTTATCTCCTCCTTCTTGCTCCTCCTCTTCGCCTCCCCCCTCCCTCTTCTTGTTCCCCTCCCCTCTTCTTGTTCCCCTTATTCCCCCCTTTTTTATCCCCCTCCTCATGCTGTTCCCCTCCCCTCTTCTTATTTCCCCCCCTCCTCTTCTTATTCCCCCTTTTTATCCCCCCTCCCCTCTTCTTATTCCCCTCTCCTCTTTATCCCCCCTCCCCTCTTCTTATCCCCCCTTCTTATTCCCCCCTCTTCTTATTCCCCTCCCTCCCCTCTTCTTACCCCCTCCCCTCCTCCCTCTCTTCTTACCCCCTCCCCTGTAGCGTGGCCGAGCAGCACTCCGGTCCGCGGTGGCCGGCCGGCCGGAGTGATAGGAAGGTGCACACTCAGTGTGCACTTCCTGTCAGTCCGGTCGGTAACAGGAAACAGAAACTCCGCGCGGAACAGGAGTTTCTGTTTCCTGTAACCGGCCGGACTGACAGGAAGTGCACACTCAGTGTGCACCCTCCTATCACTCCGGCCGGCTGGCCGGCCACCGCGGACCGGAGTGCAGCTCGGCCACGCTACAGGGGAGGGGAGGGGAGAAGCTGCAGCCGCCTGAGGCTCTTAACAGAGCGCTCAGGCGGCTGCAGTATTTAAAGGGCCGGCCCGCTGCGGCCAGCCTTACAGGAATTTAGGGCGGCCTGGGGGGCAATTGCCTCCCTGCCCCCCGGCCCAGCCCGCCCCTGCCTCTTTGTGTATTATTTTGTAAGGTCTACATAAAATAAATGCCTGTTTTCTTATGGCTTACCATTGCTCTCCGGGGGGTGGCCACTATAAAATCCTCTCTGGTCAAAAGCGCTAAGGACTGAAAGATGGCAGCCGTAGGGCAATGGTAAGCCATATATGCACCAAGAAAAGGTGTTTACTTATATGTATAAACTACAAATAAATACACAAGACTAATATATACAAGCTTTTAATACAATTTTTTTTATTTAATTTGAATTTTCATGCCTCATGCCTTGCATACAATATCCCTATTAGCCATGGTATATGTTATGTGTAATTAGGGGATGTTGAAAGTAGCCAAGGACTGGCTGACTTGTATATATTATTGCAGAAACACTGTCTCTACCATGAGTCTCCCAGTGCAAATAATGTCTCTCTCCATTGTAGGAATCCTGAATCTCACTCCTCTGATCAGGAGTTCTAGTAGCCCAATGGGCATCTACCCAGTCTGCATTCTACTAGTTTTCTCAACAAATACCTTACAAATCCAAATATGTGCCAAGGCACGTCAGCATCTCAACTACTGCCTATAACAAGTGTTATTTTGTGCTACATTTTACAGCTTGAGAAAAGTGTAAGTTGAGGGGTACAACATATCATGTACTTAAAGGGACACTGTAGTCACTTATTGAAGTGGTCTGGGTGGAGTGTCCCAGTCCCACTTAGTCCAGCAATGGAAAAACTGCAATAATTACATTACAGGACTAAGACTGCCTCCTTACACCATAGATCCCTCTAACCAAAGCATTAACTTATAAAAGAATTAACATTTTATTAAGTGAGATAATGGACATACCAATACAATCAGGTTATCAATTCTATTGTTAAATCTAAACAATGGACTGGATGTTAGCATGCATAGATTTAGTGTCTCCTTACAAAGCAAACTTTTCTTTCTTTTTTTTTTTAAATTAGAAGCAACATGTAGGTGTGATACCACCCAGGGAAACCTACACTATGCCATTTTAGCACATCTCTACCCAATAAACCAAGGACACTTAGACTGTCAACTCTTTTGTGAATAAACCCTCAAAATGACTTTAAATTTTAGTTCAAAATAGTTGAAATGGCAATATAGCTTAAACAAGTTCGTTACCAATTTGCCTATTTGGCTAAAAATGTAAAATTCTCTTCACAATTTAATAAATAGCCCAACTGACAGCTGTTTAGGGGTGGTCCTTTTTGGAGAACTTTCCCTGTTGCATAAATCCTTTTCACTCACAGACTTAGGTTCCCATTTTGTATTTAAAACAAAGACCAGCTATTTCCTCCCCCAGCCTCCATCTCCAGATGTCATTTTAAACTCCCAGCAAAATGACAATGGAGTCAGTCCATGTTTAGAAGGATCAGCTGTTGATTCACTTATCAGAGAGCATTTTATTTTGTAAATATAGTATCGAACAAATGACAACATATATTTTGTGTGGCATAATAAAATAACGTTGTATAATTACCTTGATACAGATTAAGTTATCAATATAAAAACAGTTAGGGATATAATAATTAGTAGAGAAAAAAAGGGTACAAGTAAAACTGTGGGAAACATAAACTTTATGCCCACAGTCTACTGGTACATAGTTAGCAATCCATATTGAATAAATAAAATATAACTTTTAATAGGTAATTTAAAATAGTAACACAGTCACAAAATGTCTAATTAGCGCAATCGCTACAACCAAAGCTAAATAGATTCAGCGACAGGAGAGAGACAAAGGAAAATAATAAATATCATGAAATGGTGCCTATATATATTACTGGCACAAGTAAGAAGGGAAAAGTACAGGGTTAAATGAAAAGTAGAGCCCAATATCCCTGTTATATATCGCTACTCCCGTTTCCCAATCTCACTCAAAATCGATTTCTAACTCTCTATAATAATCGCTAGCTGAGTATGGCTGACAAAAGGTAGAGAAAAAAGTCTAAACTAATAAAGCGTCTAGAACTGAATAAAATAAAATAAATGAAGCAGAGGGGTGGCTGTAAGTTTTCTAAATCGTAGTAGGATCGTCCCTGTCTGCCTCCCACACCCTCTGCTGCACTGCACCCCCCGTGTGGGGAGGCACACGGGGGGTGCAGTGCAGCAGAGGGTGTGGGAGGCAGACAGGGACGATCCTACTACGATTTAGAAAACTTACAGCCACCCCTCTGCTTCATTTATTTTATTTTATTCAGTTCTAGACGCTTTATTAGTTTAGACTTTTTTCTCTACCTTTTGTCAGCCATACTCAGCTAGCGATTATTATAGAGAGTTAGAAATCGATTTTGAGTGAGATTGGGAAACGGGAGTAGCGATATATAACAGGGATATTGGGCTCTACTTTTCATTTAACCCTGTCCTTTTCCCTTCTTACTTGTGCCAGTAATATATATAGGCACCATTTCATGATATTTATTATTTTCCTTTGTCTCTCTCCTGTCGCTGAATCTATTTAGCTTTGGTTGTAGCGATTGCGCTAATTAGACATTTTGTGACTGTGTTACTATTTTAAATTACCTATTAAAAGTTATATTTTATTTATTCAATATGGATTGCTAACTATGTACCAGTAGACTGTGGGCATAAAGTTTATGTTTCCCACAGTTTTACTTGTACCCTTTTTTTCTCTACTAATTATTGTTTCAATAGGGGTTACCCCCCATTTTCATCTATAGCAATCTTGACACACTCTTTCCTCTCTCTGTTTTTTCTATCTAAATACAACAGTTAGGGATATACACTAGAATTAAATTTTCCATGAGAAATTAACATTTTAGGTTAATATTGCCAAATTTGTAACATTTTCACCTCACCTTCTGCTCTGCTTCTTCTCTTGTCCATCTTGCACAATACACAATTTACTGAATAACCCCATGTGTCACCATGATGCAGAGCCATGGTGCGGAGACACATCAAATGCAGCAAAGAAACTTTAACCATTATTCTAGAACCTTAAATAAATTAAATATTACTTGCTGGTTATTGAAACTTCATGGAGTTCAATGGGAAAAATTATCTTAATGTTTATATAAATGATATTTATTATAAAATTCAGCCCCTGTCCTTCATTCCTGCTATCCATTCCAGACCACATGGGGATTCTCTATCAATGTTAACATACAGTTTATATCTTACCTGGTTTTGCTACGATGGGTTCCATTGCTGTTATGGTAGCAATAATGAAGAATAATTAAATTCTCAGACTGGTAGCAGGCAAGCTCAGCTTGATTACCTGTAGACAGGTAAGGGAATGTGACAGTCTATGCTCAGTCTGAAAATTTTGATGCATACACCCAATCCCTGGGAGGGGTGGGGGGAAGATTTGAATTAAGGGTCATGATTGGCTGAGGATTGAAGGGTGGAGGGGAAGTCTATAGACTGTCACAAGTACATTTACATATCACTGAGACTTCATCAAACGGATTCCTGTGGTGTTTTTAACCCCTTAAGGACACATGACATGTGTGACATGTCATGATTCCCTTTTATTCCAGAAGTTTGGTTCTTAAGGGGTCTAAAAAAAAATAAATTTTAAAAAAATTAAATCGTGGACTTTCTTTCTCTGACTCCAACAACATCAAATTGCTATTTACACAGCTAATGACTGTTATATTGGATAGATGCGTATTTTTTGAGATTTAATTTGCAACAAGTAATTATCTGTATGTAAATATATAATATGTGCATTGACATTTTATAGGCCCATCATATTATCCTTGTTTTTGTTTCCTGCACAACCATATGTTATTTATTTAATAGTTGGTGAAACACTTTCTTCAGTTACTGTCACCTCCCTCAGTTTAGAACTCAAATTTCAGGATCATTTAACGTTTCTTAAAGGGGCACTCCAGGCACCCAGACCACTTCTGCCCATTGGAGTGGTCTGGGTGCCAACGACCATCACCCTTAACCCTGCAAGTGTAATTATTGCAGTTTTTATAAATAAAAAATAATTAATTTAACGCTTCAGAATTTTTGGTTCATTGGGATATCTAATATAAAATGCTTACAGGTTACATAAATATTTTATTTAGTTATATAACTATTATATATTTAACTAGTTGTGACTTTGGCATCAGGGAACTTGAAAATATTTTTTGTAAATATAATCTGCAAACAGGCGATATATCATTAGATAAAATATATCCTAACTACCTTGATACTGAGCTATACAAAGAATCTCTGTCCTGCAAAGACTGAAAATTAACTATTTCACTACCACAACTATCTCACTGACCAAGAATGCATATTTGAAGATCTTTTCAGTTACAAAAAAAGCTGTAAAATGTATTTTGAACTACTATCACACATTCGGACCCCGGTCTCCCTCCCTTTGTGTAGTATTCCTTGCAGAATGCATGTGAAATCTGACACTTGGGGTGACAGCAGCCACACCAACTTCAAATAGGACTTCCTGTGGCCATTGTGGCTACTTATTGTGACAAACTCCCAGCCCTGGCCCATACATCATCTTCTCATTTTGACACCGTTCTCTACTCACCTAGCGAGCTTTTCGTTTCTTAATACCTGTCCTTTTTGTTAACGTGCAAGTAGGGTATTTGCCAAAACAAAAGACATACCACTTTAGTTTGTTATGAATAATATTTACATCCAGATAAGGCTCAGACCTTTACACCAGAGCTAGACTGGAGCACTCTAAACGATTTCAGAGCTCTGGTGAGTTAAATTATATGATCTCTCCCCCACCCATTGAACAAATTTGATATTTTTAAAGGGACACTATAGTCACCAAATCAACTTTAGCTTAAGGAAGCAGTTTTAGTGTATAGATCATGATCCTGCAGTCTTACTGCTCAAATCTCTGCAATTTAGGAGTTAAATCCCTTTTGCTTCTGTCTATGCAGTCCTAGTCACACCTCCCCTAGCTGCAACTCACACATCATGCATGGAAAATAATGGTTTCACTTTCAATTAGATGTAACTTACTTTAAAAGTTCTTATTGCCTGCTCTCTAAAGTGAACTTTAATCATACACAGAATGCTTCTGTGGGGGTCTAGCAAGCTATCAACAGTGCAGAAGATAATCAATAATTATAATTTAAATTAAGTAGAATTTGCATTAGCTGACACTTTACAGGAAGTGTTTAGGAAGGCTGTGCAAGTCACATGCAGGGAGGTGTGCCTAGGGTTCATAAACAAAGGGATTTAACGCCTAAATGGCAGAGAATTGAGCAGTGACATGGGGAAATGATCTATACACCAAAACTGCTTCAATAAGCTAAAGTTGTTTTGGTGACTATAGTGTCCCTTTAAGTTGCCAATTTTATAGTGTAGCTATTTAGTCACATGCGTACCTCCCAAGTGTCCCTCTTTTCTAGCTGCTCCATATTGTTGTTGTGTCTGAGTATTATTGCAATGGAGCTTTGTCATACACCCACAGTAATGTGTGTGAACACCTATTTTGTTCTTTATGCATGTACGAGAATATAACGGTATTACTGATCCTGATATCAGTAATATCTTCCTGAGATCTTCCTGATACCCGGAAATTTCCCAGTGGGCCGTCGTCACCTGGGCCCGGGCACACAGCTGAGTGTGCTGGGGGACTTGTGCTGGCAGCCGCTGAGGGAGCGGCGCTGTCTCTGCTCCCCAGTGCGCAGCTAAATGAGACCGGGGCCGGAATATAATTTCATATTCTGGCCGCTGTCATGTTCAGCAGCGCACAAGGGCAGGGGAGCAGAGCCAGCGCAGCTGCCCCACCAGCTGCCAGCACAAGTACCCCAGAGGCCGCCAGCAAAAGTCCAACAGCGGCCGCCAGCACAGGTGCTCCAGCAACCGCCAGCACAGACAGCCGTCTGCACTGCACGACCCCCTGGCAGGTAGTAGTTATGTGTGTCAGTGTTAGTTTGTCTGTCTGTTATGGTGTGTGTGTGTGTGTGTCTGTCTGTCAGTGTCATGGTGTGTGTGTCTGTCTGTGTCATGGTGTCTGTCTGTATGGTGTGTGTCTGTTTGTGTCATGGGGTGTGTGACTATCTGTGTCATGGGGTGTGTGTCTGTCCATCATGGGGTGTGTATCTGTCCGTCATGGGGTGTGTGTCTGTCCGTCATGGGGTGTGTGTCATGGTATATGTGTGTGTGTCATGGTGTGTGTGTAGGTCTGTCTGTGTCATGGTCTGTCATGGTGTGTGTGTGTCTGTCATGGGGTATGTATCTGTCATGGTATATGTGTGTTTCTGTGTCTGTGATGGTGTATATGTGTGTTTAAAAATAATGTTTTTGCTCACCTTTTTTTCCCCCACGCAATGTGCTGGTCTTCTCTCGACTGGCCCTGCCTCTATGGCTGAGATCATCAAGCTTGATGATCTCAGCCAATCCAATGCTTTGCCATAGGAATGGCTGCAAAACGCTACACCAATAAGTATCTCCTCATAGAGATGCATTGAATCAGTGTATCTATGGGGAACGTTCAGCGCCTACAGAGTGTGAAGGCCCTGAATGTAGGTGCACTGACACAGGAAGCACCTCTAGTGACCGTCTGAGTGACTGTCACTAGCAGTGTCACTTTGAAGCAATGTAAACACTGCCTTTTCTCTGAAAAGTCAGTGTTTACGTTGAAAAGCCTGTAGGAACATGCTATAGACACCAGTACCACTACATTAAGCTGTGTGTGTGTGTGTGCGTCTGCTAGTGAGTGAGCTTGTGTTTTTATGTCAATGAGCTGATGTATATCAGTGAGATTGTTTGTCTATGAGGCTGTGTATCAATGAGCTTGTGAGATGTCAGTGAGATTGTCTGTGTCTGCATGTGAGTATGCTTACTGTATAATTAAATGTTTTATTCTGAAAGGACCAATATTATATATTAGAAAAAGCAATATATATATATATATTACCCAATCATCTGTCATCTGGGGTGGTAAGACGTAGCCTTACATATTACATGCGACAATATATGGCGCAGTGACTTATGGGGCTGGCATATATTTTTTCCTGGGCTGCTTTGTATCTCCAGTCCAGCCCTGCCAGATATCTCATCTTGATACATTTATGTAAGCCCCCACGCATTCTACCTCCAATCACCATCATGCTGAAGACATGAAGTTTGTAAGGCGATCTTTGCAAAAATGCTGTGAATCTGTCCAATGACAGAGCCACCTTAATATTATATTCTAT